TACAATAGTAACAGCTTTGCCTTACATTTTTTTTTCCTGTACACAAATCTTAAACCCTCTTCTATCACTATGCTTTCACATATATAGTTTGACTATACTAGTGCTTAACTGGTGATCTGATCCCTTCCCCTTAACAAAAGGGGACTTTACAAAGTAATTTTGATGGTACTGGGAGCTATTAATATACTGACTCAAACAAATGGGACTCTGCTCTAAATAATCAGGTCCGTGATCCTCCTGTCTGTCTGCATAGGCTCAGAAACCCTTTTAAAGCACATACCTTAATACCTGTTTTCAGGGTTCTAGTTCTCAAGTTCAGTATTGAAGAGGGCTTGTGGGTGACCCTATGCACTAGGTCAGCAGTTCTCAAACTTTGTTGCCTTGTGGCCCTCTTCTGACAACAAAAGTTACTACACGACCCCAGGAGGGGGACTGAAGACTGAGCCACAGGCAGGGGGCATGTAACCTTAGTCCTGGGTGGTAGGGCTTGGGCTCCAGACTTGCTGGGGCCCAGAGCAAACACCACCCTTGGTGACCCCATTAAAATGGGATCATGACCCACTTTGGGGTTCCAAGCCATAGCTTGAGAACCCCATTGAAATTTGGTGCAGGCACCCATTTATTAGACAGTGGGGCAGATAGGCTAAATTTCAGTAAGTGGCAGTGTGACCAGGCACTTGTGGTTCCAATGCCACTGAAAGATAGCCTGGCTGGGCCAAATCTCAGTAAGTGGTATTGCAACCTGTTGCATGGGATTACCCACTAGTGTTCAATGCTGAAATTGAGGAATATGGCCCTGAAAACATTATTTAAAACACTGATTCCAATAAAGGGGATGCTGTATTGGTCCCAGTTCCATCAAGGTTACATTGGAAAGTCTCATTTTGTTAAAGGGTGGGGGGGATAGGTAGTAGCCAAATTTTTTTTTTTTTTTTTTTTTTTTTTTTTTTATAAATGAAAGAGGATGTGAGTCAAGGTTGAGAGCCCACGGTCTAAAGCAGGGGTGGGCAAACTATGGCCCGTGGACCGCTTCTGGCCCATCAGATGCTTTTATCTTGCCCTTGAGTTCCTGTTGGGGAGTGGAATCAGGCACTTGCCCTGCTCCAGCTGCCCAGTGCTCCCCAGTCCCCCCGATTCTCAATTCTCTTGATGAGCACCGTCTTTTGGCATGTAGAGCCACACTGCACAGGTGTGACTTCACTGTGCTGTTTCTGGGATTGGAACTCCACCCCATGTAGCAGGCCTGGCCTCCCTATGGAGCAGAGCACCCAATCCCTGCCCAGTCTCCTATGGACCTACCCTTGAGAGCCTCGAAACCACCCAGGGGCCGCACCAGTCCCAGCTAGGGTGCCTCTGCCCATGACAGTGCCTGGTATGGCCCCCTTTGAGTCACTGCTGGCAGGGCCCCTAGGAGTTCCCGGTATTGCCCCTGTAGAGCCCCACCCCTGTGCCACATCCCGTGCATCTCCATAGAGTTCCCCCTCCCCCACCAGGCATTCACGCCCGCCCTACAATTTTTGTACCCAGATGTGGCCCCTCAGGCCAAAAAGTTTGCCCACCCCTTGGTCTAAAATCTTTAATTCCCCAGGCAACTAATCCACTTAAGCCCTAATCAACATAGGTGCCTAGTCACTTCATAGCATATTTGCTGTACAGTTACTATGGTCACTTTTGCACTATGGACACTTTTACAGTGCACTCCCATTTAGAAGAATCATTGCTGTAAGAATCAAGGGCATATAGTGATCAAAACAGAAAAATCATTCTTATAGTCTAAATATACTCTGCTTATAAGAATCAAATCATCTAGGAGGGATGTTAGTCTTATAAAAGACATTTACTGTAGCTACAGTCTGAAATTGGTAGACTTTTTTTTGGGGGGAGGGGAGAGGGTAAAATCACCCTTTTCCCCTAAATTGGGGCAAATTCTTTTTACTCTGTGTCCCCCCCCCCCCAATTTGACAGCTTGTAAAGTGCTAAGTTTGTACAAGCACCTCAACCTTGGTGACATTACTGTCCAAAAATGGAAATGATGGGTAATATGTTATATGTGGAATAATCTCAGCCCAGTGAGGGAATTTGTTGTCATAACAGTAACCATTTTACATGGAGGCATACCGTTAGCTACTGGAAAAGATGTGTCGGTAACACCACAACTGAGCACTATAGCAGCATTCTCATCAAGTACATACAGTAACTCCTCACTTAAAGTCGTCCCAATTAACATTGTTTTGTTGTTACGTTTCTGATCAATTATTGAACATGCTTGTTTAAAGTTCTGCAATGCTCCCTTATAACGTCATTTGGCAGCCGCCTGCTTTGTCCACTGCTTGCAGTCAGAGCAGCCAACTGGTGGGGGCTTGGAACTAGGGTGGACCGGCAGCCCCCCATCAGCTCTCTGCTCCCCTAAGTTCCCTGTGCAGCAGCTGCCCAGCAGGCTACCAATTGCCAGCAGTTCAGCTGTCCCTCCCCGCCACTGCCATGTGCTGCCCCTGCCCTCTGCCTTAGAGCTACTCCCCGGAGCCTCCTGCTTGCTGTGTGTGTGGGGGATGGAGAGGGGGGGCTAATGTCAGGCTGTCCCCCTCACCCCTTCACCACGCTTACCCCATCTTCCATAGAGCAGGGGGGACACATGACAGGGCTCAGGATGGAGGGAGCTTCCTGGCAGCAGCTGCCATCTCAGCTTGCTGATCTACTTAACAAGACAGTGTACTTAGAGTGGGGTCAGGGTACTTAAAGGGGCAATGCGCATCTCTCTCTCTCACACAGTGTGTGTCTCTATCTGCCATGCTCTCCCCTCCCTCCATTCGTGCTGCCTTGTAGAGTGTGAGGCTACATTAACAACAAGTTAACCCTTGAAGGCTCAGCCAACTGCTAGTTCATCATTCAGCACTAAGGCATTCCCTGGGAAATATCCCACCCTCTGACTTCACCTCCTCAACCAAGCCTCACAATAATCATCGCCGTGTACCAGTATTAAATGGTTTGTTTAAAACTTATACTGTGTGTGTGTGTATATATATACATATATATATATACACACATACACACACACACACACACACAATTAGTCTTTTGTCTGGTGAAAAAAATTTCCCTGGAACCTAACCCCTCCCATTTACATTAATTTTTAATGGGACAATTGGATTCACTTAACATGGTTTTGCTTAAAGTCACATTTTTCAGGAATATAACTATAACGTTAAGCAAAGAGTTACTGTACTTTGCTGAGGAAAAAAATACTGAAGCTTTAGTATTGTGATGTGGCAAGTTTAGGACTAAATCCTGCACCCTCCTCCCCTTAAAGTCCAATAGCTATATTCCTACACAAACAGAAGGTGGTGAGCTTATTAAAAAAAGAACTAACTATCTTGGTAATGTAATGTTGCTAACACCAGCTGGTGTAAGTATATACATACTACTGTTTAATTTTGGGGAACATCGTTTGACATTGTAGTTCAGAAATTCAAGTGATAGCATAGCTGACTGGGTTAAGGCAGTGGATGGAAGTGATTAGGGTGCAAGTCTGGGATTTGGCCTGGCTCAGGTTGAATGCCCTGCTTATCATAGCCATTCTGTTCAATATCTTCATCAATGATTTAGATAATGGCATAGAGAGTACACTTATAAAGTTTGCAGACGATATCAAGCTGGGAGGGGTTGCAAATGCTTTGGAGGATAAAAGTATAGCAAACCCACAAGTTAAAATATTTGTTTTATTTTCCTCACCTAGAAAACACACAATCCAGCATTAAGATGCACATCGGCTCCCCAAATTTATCCCTAATAAAACTTTTGAAGATTTATACAATTTCTACAGAAACATACAGTGTATCAAAATCTGCATAAATCAAATTTATAAAATGTGTAGAAATGCATAGTGATATTATCATCAGTTTACAAAGCAAGATATGGGACATTTTTTCCCCCCAAGCAGGCTACAATAGGAAAAGTCATTACAGCAACAGCTTCTGATGTTCTCATGTTTTGTAGTTTGCAGTTTCAGATACAGATTCATATGCACATACAGTATCTTTTAATGAATTGCACAAAATACCCATTTAAAATATACACCTGGACAATTTATATGCCACCTTTCTTTCACTAATGCATAGTAACATAATTAATCTACCCAACACAAAAATGGAGTCAGTTTTCATACACACAAATAATAAAAGTACCTATACTCTTATTCTCCCTCCTTTATTTTCTAATTTTATTTTTCAGACCTTTTAAAGGACAGCTGAGAAGTTTAAAGAAGCCAGAGGAGATCCCAAATCATTGCCAAAATATGCATAGATAGATAGCTTTATAAAGGTCAAATTCTGCCTTTAGATATGACACATAACCCTTACTAACTTCAATGGATGTTACATGCAATGCTAATCTGCATTTGAGGGCAGAATTTGGTACTAAAACAAATACTTTCAGGGTCTGATCCTGTGAGGTGCAAAGGGCTCAACTCCTATTAAGTCAAGGCATTCGTGATGTCATCAACTCTTACTAGTCTCAGAATCTGGATCTAAAACTAGTTGACAGTGCCCCTTTAAAGTCTACCCCTGTATGTTAATTAATTTTTTTTTTTTTTTAACTTAAAGTTTTAGTTCACCTCCAGGTGAATTCAATTTATATTAACAATGTCACAAAGTACTGGATCATTCTTAATTTTATACATTGTGCAGCTTTAGCTTTAAAATAGATCAGAGGTTTGTACAGCATGATACAACAAAGACGTTAGTGTTTGTAAGTTCTTAGCTGTAATTCAGAGCACTCTCTTCATCAGATGTATCACATAATGCTTTCAGGTTCAGTTTCTTTTGGCTTTTTTAATATTGAAAAGAAAATAAATGTTTAATTGCTTTAGTGCTGTCTAAGACTATGTCTACACTAAGGATCTTACAGCAGCACTGTACCACTGTAGTTGTGCCACTGTAAGGTCTCCTGTGTAGCCGCTCTCTCACTGGCATAATTAAAACATCCCCAACGAGACGTTCTCCCACTGACAGTGCTGTCTACACTGGCGCTTTTGTTGGTGAAATTTATGTCAGCAGGGGTGGGATTTTTTTTACTCACCAGACCAACAAAAGTGCTAGTGTAGAAAAAGCCTAATATACCAGCTGCATCCAAGTGCTACTCAGCATACCTGGTTCAGCTCACTTAAAGTTCCAATGAATTTACAGCACCTAGCTGCAAAAGGGACATTTTGCAATATTTTTGGGACCCCCTACAGCATTTCTGGTGTGGTCTGTACCTTTATTTGCCTTAGCAATATGTAGTAAATACAGAAGTCACATTGGCAACACAAACTTGTCTTCGGTAATTACGTGGGTGGTACAATTAATCCTTATCAATATGACGCATCAACATATCCATACTATACATTCCATCAAATGTTTTTCTTGTAAAATATATAGAGAAATGAAAGAGGCACTAATGTTGAAATCTACCTTTCCAAAAAAGCAGCATGACTGTGAAAGAAGGCCACTCTGGCTAATAACCCGTGGCAGTGCTTGGTAGGATGTAAAATAAAATAAAAAGATACAACAGGTTGATAATCACCACATTATATGAAAGTCTGGTTACTCCAACCTTTTCAAGTGTGTGTAAAAAAACTGCCTTCAGACCCCTGAGTGAAATCCCAAAGAAGACCACAGTGCCTTTAACTTTGTTCCTATAAAACATAGCTAAGAGCACATAAACCCCCAACATCTTAAAACAAAAAGATGTAAACATCTACAAAGTTTAAGGTAAAAGCAGTTTTGTAAACATTAACTGCAGATGATAATGTTATTGTAATATCACAGTTCATCTATGTCCTTCATCCAAGTCGGGAGATTTCAAGCTTGCAGCTGTACAAAGTTAATAGTTGCAGCAGTTTTCAGGTTATTTTCAGTCCTGTACAAATTAATGTTTCAGTAGGCCAGGTTTTTGTTTGTTTTGTCTAAACACTAAGAATGTTGTTCATTTCCCATTTTTGTGTTGCTTTACTGGAGTCACATTCAGTGATAAAGACTTGGTGTAAGACCTCTGAGCGATCTAAGCACTTCCCTGAAGGAATGTGGGTAAATCTATGTAGATTCTGGAAAACAAAACAATCAAAAATAGATTTAAAATCTTCCCCATCTAATATGTGTAGCTGTTTAAAAACAAATTACCCAGTGTCCCTGTGAAAGTCTCATTTCTACATTAATAATGTTATCACTTATTAGGCCTATATTTTCACATCTTGAAATGTTACATTATAAAAAGGTAAATAGATGCACTTGGTCCATTTTAAAAACCCACACTTATTACTCATAGGAAACAGGCTATTTCTGCATAACTGATTCTAAACTATGTTTAATAAAAAAAATTTGTCTATCCTAGATTTTTTTTTAAAGACAAATGCTTGAAAACAAGACCTTTCCTGCTTAGGATTGCCATCTAATCCGGCTGTTTATGCTTCACCTAAGGTTATAACCATAATGCCAACATCAGAGCAATGCAAATATTTGGGGTGAAAGTGATGATTTGCCTCAGCTCTTCTCCCACATTTTCTTTTTCCAATGGTAGCAGGGAGAAGTGTGGTTATGAGATAGCCATTGTCCCCCAAATCAACAAAAGTCAGCAAAAGACAAAAGGAATATTCTGACCAGATCTGGCTATACTCTCTCTCTGGGATACCTGAGTGGCCTATAGGAGCACTACTACTGAATCCCTATAGTCACATAACTGATTCACTACAGTAGCACAAATATTGCGACTGTTTGATCGACACTGAAACACCCCCCCAAAAAATGTTGCTGTTCACGTCTGCACTGGGCATCACATTTCTTGTACTGGTTATAACTGTTATCTTCCTGCCCCAGTCCACCCCCATCAGTGAGAATATATTTTTAAAATGGGTTGCACAGTAATTAAACAGTGAAAATCTGGCTCACAAGTGCACCAAGTTTCCAGTGTTTGTTTGCTTACCCACCTTTGATAGTCTTTTATCATATTTCTTTGGAAATAAACCAAATGTTTTGGTCTATACTCTGTGCTGTGCCTACTGGGCCACTCTCTCCTAACTTCTAGTAACAGAAACATTGAAGCAAACAATTGCACAATTGGCACAGCTACTGTGGAAAGGGATTCAACTCGTGTAAAAACAAAACATAATGAAGTGGCAAGTAACATGCTGGGCCACATTAGAATTGGTGGAGACCAAACAAGTTGTACATATACACTACAGAACAAAGTAGACACCAAAACAGTGTGTATTGATTTTTATCTAAATTCCTGGGATTTAAAGATCTTGTCTGTCTCTTCCCAGCTTTTTAGCTCCATACAAACAGCTTTTTGTTATTCAGGACTTCACAGCTGTATGCAAATATTACAAAAACTTGCATGTCAGTGGAAGGCAAATGGACTTTCACCACATAATGCTTAACAAAGAATCTAGCTGCTTCAGGCAAATAGAATCCAGATACCAACAGACTAATGAGTGAATTAATAAATGCACAACAAGCTAGATGGTAATGATTCAGAAAACAACTGGGTAATAGCAATCTGGCATTCAACCCTTTTAGACCACATTATGCCCTCAAATACACAATTGAGGTGTGTGTGTGTGCACGTATTTAAAGGCCAAATTTCCTTATTAGTGTATTCTGTCTTTATCTCTTTTTACTGGAACAAAAGTATGAGCTGACTCATTAAATATAATAGAGGAGTAGGATAAAAATGTTTTCAAAGTTAGTACCTATACCAAAATACATATTTACTTAATAGCTATTACAAGCTATAAATCAATACTTCATTTAAAAATTCAGATCTTTCACAACAGCATCACACAGTGGCCACACGCATCATTTAGAAAACACGAGACAATATTTACTCAGAGAATAGGTAGCTAACTCAAAAGAACAAAACTAAATTCTGAACAAGACACAGGACAACACATATAAATAATTACATTTAGCAGAAATAGAACTAGCATTGCTGTACTTCCCGTCTCCTCTCTCAGTACTGCTGAAAAATGTAATTTAAATGGAGCACTATTTCAGTATAGATATGCAAGGTAATCAAATTACATTATTCGAGCTGCTAAATTCACCCTTGCATCTTTGCCAGATTCTGGCAATACAGACATTGTGGAGGACTCTCTTGGTGGGAAGGGCATTAGCAGGAAGATTGCTGTGAGCAAAAGCTGTTGCAACCTTCATTAGGGGTGTGCGGGCCACCACAGTGCCAAAAAGGGGGCAGCGGGAATGTGCTGATTCAGCACACACCCATAGAATCATAGGACTGGAAGGGACCTTGAGAGGTCATTTAATCCAGTCCCCTGTACTCATGGCAGGACTAAGTATTATCTAGATCATCCCTGAGAGGTGTTTGTCTAACCTGCTCTTAAAATCTCCAATGATGGAGATTCCACAACCTCCCTAGGCAATTTATTCCAGTATTTAACCACACTGACAGAAAGTTTTTCCTAATGTCTAACTGAAACCACCCTTGCTGCAATTTAAGCCCATTGCTTCTTGTCCTAGCCTCAGAGGTTAAGGAGAACAATTTTTCTCCCTCTTCCTTGGCAGCAGCTGTCCTGGTGGAATTTAAAGCTGCTTTTCTGCAGCGGAAATCCTGGGAGAGGGCGGGTAGTGCCAACAAAACCCATCTTCCCTCAGAGTGAATTCCTCCCATAAAGCAAGAGGAGAGCCTGGTACAGAAAAGTGAAATTTACATTTTGCCACACCAAGTTCAGTGAATCTGGTCCTACAGCTTTACTTCCAGATGTATGCACAATAAAAAAAAGTCTTAACAAAATGGGGTGTAAAAAAAGTCTTAACAAATCGCCTATCCTTGCACCATATACTGTCACATACCTTGAAGTATTGCCATTCCTTGTATTCATTTAGATTACAGTGCGTAATCATAACTTTTGATCCATCAGGTCCTTTAGTCAAACACTGGTCATACTGCATGAGTTGATTAGCTTCATTTATTCGAAAAAGCTAAAAGAAAAATATTGAGGCACCTTTTTGTTACTGTAAACACAAAGGGTGAACTTTATACGGTAACTGAAATTTTAGAAGCAATTCTATAATAATTAATCTACATCATCTGGAATATTCTTTTGAAATTATCATCACACCCACCTTTGCTTGAATAGGGCTGATTTATTTTAAGTGATGCAATATATTAGCTTCTCACTATCAGAGACTTACCATATGAAGTACCTTCTTTCTGAGCTCAGAAAACTAAATATATACGACTACTAAATTAGTAGAACAAAGAGGATAAATGCAAAAGATTTTATCGGAGAGGCTCCTGAGAAGAGCTGGATAAATCAACCTGCGGTTTGATGGCTATATAATCACAGTCTTTCAAAGAGCTGGAAGCCAGTGAACTTTTGTCCTCACCAGTATTTTCAAATGAAGACAATAATAAATTTAAGAACTACAGAGCACTGGGCCAGAGGGAAAACTACCAAATTGAAATACAAACAGATAATTTCTGCTACTTCTTAGATTGGCATTTAATTAAGGTAAGATTTTAGGACTGAAAAAGAATGATTTTTTCATAGGCTTTCTAGAGTACTGTATAGTGAAAATGGGTACTGCATTATATTTTAAACTACAGTTACAACAGTGACATTTTTACATTAAGAGCCAACTGAACATGATTTTTTAAACAGGGACATCATCCTGTATGACTGCATAAGATTAAGTCGTATATCTATATATCGAGAGAGAGAGAGAAGATAATTTTTTGTTAATCTTTTTACCATTTTGCTTTGAGCCATTTTTCAGTTTACAGACTTTTTCAAAATTGTAAGTATCAAATTCAAGAAGATAAAGCTACCTGACTGCCTGAAGTAGGTTTGTCCTTGTGGTGGTGAGATGGCAAAATTGTGAAGACTTGGGCCAAATTGTGCAATAGTCTTATTACAATTATCTGTTAGGAACTAAGATTTTTCCAATTTAACTCAGCTTAACTTATGAATTAATTTGTATTTGATTCCTTGTTTCTGGTAGTGGAAAGCCATTTAGTGCATCAGTGCATTGCACACCTATATCACAATTCTGAGAAGTAGTAACTAAGGCACCACAGTGGGTAAGGGGAATATTTCCTGAGTGGAAACAAATCCCAAATTCCCACCCATAAAAGCTGGCACAGTCCACAACTTTCCCCCCGCATTTAATCTACTTTTTGGTAACCACAGTAGTTTTAGGGACTTTATCAGAGAAACAGCTTTATGATTATTCATTGCATCAACTGTCTCTTTCAAACGTCTCGCCTCAAGGTTACTTACCTGATTACCTCCCATTCTGTGGCATGGTCCAAGTTCTACAAAGCCGCCATTGGTGTGCCCCATGCTATCTATGCAGTAAGCAGTTTCAAAGCCTCTGATCTGGGGGGGGAGAAGGAGAAAAGGGCTTTTTCCACTTTAGTTTAGACTTTGGGAAAATATGATCTCTAGTGCAAAGAAGTTAAGGAATATCCTACTCGTCGTCCTCCAAACGAATAATATACACAGATATTTGAAGCAAGACTGCAAGAAATTTGAATCAAATGAGATAAGGATGTTAAATTCTCAGGAGAAAGTTTTATGAATCCAACTGTCCATACTAATTTGAGAGCTATTGTGAGATAACAGACATAAGTATGCTAGTGAATATACTGTATGGAAGTTTGATTTCAAATTTACCATATTCATACAGAACAGGGGATCTTTCAGATGTAGGCCTGGTTTCTTATGCAGTTAATCCCCCATGAAAGGATGTTCAATTCTTTAGTTATTCCTGAATGGTGTGCAGCAGGGGCTTGTAATTAGGGTTGATCGGGCTTCCCACCTAGGAGAGGATGTGAGGGATGAGATAGGTGATTGTTTTGTTCAGACTTAAAATGAAATGGAGCTTGACCTGAATGTCAGAAAATTACTATGATAAAGCTTCAACATTGTAGAATTCGGGTGTCCACATTTTAAAAAGGATTGTGAAAAGAACCACAAAAATGATTTGAGGTATGGAGAAAAAGCCTTACACATGGAGAGACTTAAAGAGCTCAATCAAAAAGAAAACTGAGAACTTATTTGATACAGTATATAAGTACCATCATGGGGGGAAAAATACTGGGTACTAAATGATTACTGATTGGCAGCTAAAGTCAGACATATACAAATGGGAAATAAGGGGAAAGACAAACAAACAAAAACAGTGAAGGTGATTAACCACTGGAAAAAAATGTCTCTTTTGATATCTTCAAATCAAGACTGGATGCCTGTCTGGAAAGTATGCTTTAGTCAAACAAGTTATTGAGCTAAATGCAGGGGTAACTGGGTGAACTGTAAGAGCCTGTCATATACATATCGTTCAACTAGTTAATTGTCACAGGATGAATGGCCAAAAATCCCTTTTATAGGAGTTGGGCCTAGTTTCACATATGAGAGCTGGGAGGTAGCTGAGCTGAAACCGTATCAGCAAAGGATCAGGTGGTTATAAAAAGCCAGAAAGTGACTCAGCTGGAACAGAGCTGCCAAGAGCCTGAAGGCAGTAACAGGAAGGAGAGCTAGAGCTACCAGTAAGTAGTTTGACTCCTGTAGGAGGAAGCAGGGTATGGCTGTCAGGCAAGTGGCCTGTAGAATGGAAACCTGTAGTGAATAGATAAGCCCCTACAGAACACCCCAGGTTAGGGGGGAAGGGACACTCAATGTGCTGCACTAATTTTATGTGGAAGAAATAAAACTGAAGCCCTGAGAAGAGGGTCTGAACCAGATTCTGGATATGGTGTCACTCCTTCCTGGGCTGAGGGGACTGGCCAGTAGCCTACAGTGATCTAAAGGTCTCTTCTGGCCTTAAATTCTATGAATCTATGGGTATTTATCAGAGCTGTCTTCCCAACAGATACAGTTTATCACCAATCTTTGCAAGTCATGAACAGCAGTGATTAATGAAATTTCCAGTTAAATATTAACCTAGTTGTAGTAGAAAGAGAGCGCCTGAGTCACGAGCCCTTGTATAAAAGGCCTGAACTAAAGCAGTGGTCAAGCCTTGCTAATATAAAGCAAAGTTAGCAAAAGTCAGGCTGTGAGCAGAAGTCAGGTCCTGTTATAAAACATGCCTGCCTGCAGGTTCACAGACCCTGGCAAGAATAGGGCTGGTATTGCAAAAATATAAACATTCCTGAGAAGTACTAGGCACAGGACACACAAGTAAACATCTTCCAGAAGGGTGGTACCAGAACACCCTGATACCAAGTATGACACAAACACACTCCCCAAAGATGATACAAGGACACACTGACCCCCTCTTAAAGATAAGGTCAGGATGACAGGGTGATGAATAGAGATGTTTTGATCGATAAGCCCAACATGTACAAGGTAAAAGGGTGGTAACTAAACATGTCACAGGGGCAATATGTAACTTGTTTGTATCGGTGTATAAAGAGGAGTCTCAGAGGGAGTGTCTTTGACTAGCCTAGGGGGGAATGGAGAATCCCGCCATTCACTGAGCTAGTCCATTGTTACAGGCATACATGTGCTAGTGTAACTAGACATTGGTCCGGGGAGCTAAGACCGTGCTTCATCAACAATAAACCTGGCCAGGTGTCTTCGCTACTAGACCAAGTCTTGTGGTCTTATTGAGCAGTTCGATCGGAGCCTGCTGTACAGGCTATCTGGCCAGAGCCAATGCAGCACGCAGAGAGAACACACACGCAGCCAATGACTAACTACATCAGTAACATGGTTGTTCACCAGCATTCTATTCTACTGACTCTACTAAGAAGCAAACAAGGAGGGAGAACCTACCTGCAAGTTAGGGTTTTTTAACAGCTGGAAATTAGTGGAGGGTTGACATGAACACTAGCCCAAGAAGCTACAATAAAAAGCAGCCAACCACTTAGTGAAGGAGTCCTTTAAATATGAGAAAAATAGGACTGGAAAGAACTTTGTATCCAAGTAGTAGAGTCAAAAAACGTTTTGGCCATCCAGAAATACAATTGAGGCAATAATTAAAAGTGCAACAAAGGAGCATTAAAATCCTGTAAACATTGTGTAATGACTGCTGGCCATCGATTAAGAGAGATCAAAAACATTTCAGAGAAGCCTGAGGACATAGCACTCTGATTGATGCCACACTACTTCAAGCTTCCCTGTCACTTCATCCAAGTCCCAGGGGCTGCTGGCTTCAATTCCTTTTTTCAGGGATGCTTCCTGCCTTCTATTTTCCAGACACTACCATAGTGATTCTCACAGCTCAGTCAGGAGCTAGATGTTGGCACATTTTCCCCACCTTAGGTGGACTTTGGAACAGTTCTAAAGCTGATCAACTAACTTACTGCTTTGTATTAACTCTTGGGCAAGAAATTTGCCTTGATGGAGATAGTCTTGTTTCCCTGGGCTCCCAGATGCAGGACTGTTTGTCCATCTTCACATGCACTTTGTACAACCAGTTCCAAAGGCTTCATAATAGACCCTGACAGATTCCCAACATGCCTGTTGTGCACTGGACAACTCTGTACTCCACCACTGCTCTCTTGAGGTCACATACGTAGATCTGTCATATCTTTAGAAGAGGAAGTTCTTTAAACTACTTCCTTGCACATCTAATGGATTAGCCAAATTGACTAAGAAGTAGGATAGAACACAGGGCTTCTTATTCTGCCAGTTAGAACACTATCTCTGCCTCCAGGTTCTGCAGAAGTGGGTTCAGTATACTCATAGGGGAGACCAGGGAGAGCTTCTGGGGGACTAAAACAATCTTCATAAGCCAAGGCATTTCCCTGGCTGAGCAGGGAATCCTACAAAGGAGTATGTAAAAAACCCAGCTAGGATTGTCTATGAAAGAGCATTCAATTCCTGTAAATCATGCGCTGAATTTAAACCCTGCCAAATAGTTTTTCTTGCAATTAAATGAGAATGCTGAATCTGTGATGTCCCACAGTCTTCGAAGTCACATTCAAATGCAAATATCTTGATTATTCTGAATAATTGTCTCCAGATATGTCTTTTCTACGTACACCAGTGTTCTTCATTGCAAGGCCCGCGAGCCAGTGGCAGTTCCCATCGACCCTAAGTGTGGCTCCCTAAGTTCCCTCTAAGCTGCGCAGTCGCACAGCAGGTTATCAGTAGCCCCGCAGCAGCTCTAAAGGGCCATGCAGCAGGGACCTGGAGAGGAGAGAGGTAGGGGGTGGATGGGAACCAGGGAGGGGAGCAAGTTGGGACTTGCAGGGCTGCTGTGGGCCTTGGCCCCGGAGCTCCCTGCTGCTGGCAGGGGGGAGAGAGGGCCCCTTCCCCCATTACTCCTGTACTGCTTGTCTGCAGGGAATCCTCTGGCCCCAGCCCCGGGGCAGTCTGCCTGCACCCAAAACTCATCCCTGGTCCCACCCCAGAGCCTGCACCCCCAGCCAGAGCCCTCACCCCCGCCCCGCATCCCACCCCTCTGCCCCCAGCCCTGAGCCCCTTCCTGCACCCCTCACCCCAGCATCCCAAACCTCTGCCCGAGCCCCCTCCTGCACCCTGAACCCCTCACCCCCGCATCCCAACCCTCTGCCCCAGCCCTGAGCCGCCTCCCGCACCCCAAAACCCTCATCCCCAGCTCCACCCTAGAGCCCTCAACCCCAGCCAGAGCCCTCACCCCCGCACCCTACCCTGGACCATCTCACACTCCAAACCCCTCGGCCCCACCCCACGTGGCTCTCACATTGAAGTTTTTTTTTTGCCAAAGTGGCCCCCACTTCAAAAATAGTGAAGAGCACTGAACACCATATCGTGATTCCAAGTTTCTTCTCAAAATACATTCTTACTCTGAAAGAAGGACTCGGGATTATAAACATCAATGAAGAAGAGTACACACAGACAAAAGAATTCTCAACAAAAATGTAGAGCTAATAAAAAACACATGTTAAAACATCATGACTTGGTTACTTACTGTTGCATTTGATCTCCTGTCGTTACTCTATAAATACAGTATTTTCATACCTGTCTGTCAAGTGTTATCCAGACCTGCTATTTAGTGTCATGGTTACTGGGTAAGTTGTGCCTTAGAACACTAACTCCCTCTCACATTCACCCCATGAGACAGGCTTTGCTACCTTCCTCCCCTCTTGGTGGAACCACATGGTTCTGCCACTTTTTAGACTGGATCTCTGGGCTGCAGCCTCCCTATTTACCAAATGGATCAACCTGACAGACTCAAGTGGGTTTAGCATTCGTAAGCACATTATCGCTGGAGACCTGTGACCAGCAGCTAGTTAAAGTGACTCAAAAAGTAGCTTATTCAAAACAAAGTACACCTCTACCACGATATAACGCGACCTGATATAACACGAATTCGGATATAATGCGGTAAAGCAACGCTCCAGGGGGGCAGGGCTGTGCACTCCGGCGGATCAAAGCAAGTTTGATATAACGCGGTTTCGCCTATAACGCGGTAAGATTTTTTGGCTCCTGAGGACAGCGTTATATCGGGGTAGAGGTGTAGTGTGATTTGCCAAAAGGAACACAGCATCTAAGAAAATGGGTTAGAACAACTAAATGTTGCATACACTTATTAGTCTGCCTAAGATTACTCTCTCTATTCATAGCTTGGGTAGGTTCAGTTTATTACCATCTCTGGAGAGCCAGCCTGCCTGCTGCATGTCTGTCTGCCAGAGACTCACTATGGCTGCTGACAGCCCATTCATCCCCCCTTCTTCTATAGGACAGCATCTTGAAGGTTTAGGATCCTCTATGATCTTAGCCTTTTAGCCTTGAGAAGAGTAAAACATGCCAACCAGGTTGGAGCAGGGCAGAAGCATTCCCCCAATTAATAGCTCCACCCATTGTTCACTTAAGGAGCCTTATCTTTGCCATTGTTTTGTTTTGTTTGCATGCCACTTAACAGCCTCCTTGGATTTAACTCCCACAGGCAGGCAAGATAATATTAAACATAAATTGTGGTGCATGCCATACATGTAAAAAAAATAATATATATATTCCCTTATTTTCCACATTTAAAAACAACAGTAACCAAAATAATTCTTTGTTTTCTGTTTAAATATTAAAATATTTTTCAGGTACAAGAAGTTACAGTGGCTTCATTGTGGACTCCCAACTTTAAAAACCTATTGCATGTGCTGATTTTAGATGCATTTACTGTACATACCTCTCCCCAGTCCACATTTTTAGATGGTAAGGGATAGTGTGAGGTTATATCATAGGCTATTTCTTCCATAAACCATTTAAAACTTTTGCAGTTGTGATCTTCACGGAACTTTTTCAGCTCAGATATATCCCCATATGGTAGTGCTTTTGTCTCTGGACGACTGGCATAGAAGTAATCTTTGTACTCATCCCACCAAACTTCCACCACTCTGACATAGTTCTGTAGGGAGGGGAAAAAAAACATCACTACTGCAAAATAAAACCAATATGTTGTATGTATGAGGAATTTAATCCCACAGATTTAAGAATTCTTAGAAACATGTTAATACGTGTTATACAGCACTCAACTTGCCACCTTTACAGAAGATACAGCACAAAAGTAGCCTTTTTATATATTTTGGAGGTAAGACTAGCATAATTAAGTGAGCTTAGTGAAGATTGTAATTATAACTAAATCTAGGGAATTCTCTTTTTTGAAGAAAAAGATGCCTTAGTTATGAGTAGAATGAAAACAGTGCTGTTCATTTGACTGCAATACTCTAGAAAATGTGATGTGTCATCTGGAGTTTATTTTCACCTTCTACACTTCCTAGCATTAAAATAGAGTGACACCTATTAACCCCCAACTGGATTCCACAAGTGTAACTGATTTAGATCTTAGGGCTTTGTCTACACCACAGATGCCACTGCAGCACAGCTATGTCACTGCACTGCTGTAGTGCAGACACTTGCTACAGCAACACAAGGGTTTTTTCTGTCAGTGTAGTTAATCCCCCCCTCTTGGTAGCAGATAGGGTGACAGAAGAATTCTTTCATTGAATTAGTGGTGTCTATACTGGAACATAGGTAGGCTTAATGACATCTCTCAGGGGCATAAATTTTTCAACCTGAGTTTTAAGTGTGGATCAGGCCTTAAACAGTTCAACTGATACAAAAGAGAGATTCTATCTCCTCTCCCACACCTGCATTGGCTCAGCAGTACTAACAGGAATTATGATTATAAACATACATATATGAAAATAAAAAGTGTAAAATGATCTTTAACTTCACACAATCTTATCACACACGGTCTTATTCCCCCCTTCTCCCGTCTTCATCTTCCTTGTAGTAAGCTGTCTAGCTCACATTTTTATCTAAATTTTTATATGGACCTCATCACTGTAGTATTTGAATGCATCTGCCACAGATGGTTCTTTTTCTTTCTTTCAGCATGGTACAGACAATGTTAACAGTATGCAATTAAAACATTCTTGTCATTGAAGTAAGCAGATATGACTGAATACACATATTCAGGGAGTAGACCTGTTTAATAAGAAGGTATCAGTTTTACGTTGTCACTTTCAGAACAGAACTGCACTTTAAACTAGAACAGAATATTATTATAGCACAGGAGTGCATCACACTGTATTTACAAGGACAGTAGTGATGTATATTTTATTCAGTAGGGAGAAAATGATTCCTGATGAGGAATTTTCATATAAACAACAAGTGCTTCAATCAGATTTATCAGACTAAGGCAGTTGGAATAAAGGACTTACTGACTATTCTTAAAGAAAAATGAGGTTTCTTTAAATAAGGAGAGTACGGTAACTTGATTTCTTCAAGATACTTTGTCCCTGTGGGTGCTCCACCATGTGCCAGTGCCTCTTGACCAGAGAATGCAAAGTGGTGTCTGCGGGCTCACGCCTGCTCATAGCAGTGCCTGTGGCTTCCAAACAAGGGCATACAAGGAGGCATGAACCTACTGTCATTCAGTTCCTTCTTGACTGCGAAGCAGAGCCTCCAGAGCTGAGAGAAAGGAGGACAGGAGGTGGAGCACCCATAGGAACAAAATATCTCTAAGGATTCCAATTACTGTAAAGTAAGTAACGTCTCCCTCCTTTAAGTATATATGTTCCACTTTAGGAGACTCCCAAGCAATAACTCAGCCAGGAAGTTAGTGCTGAAGAGGCAAGTCCAAAATGTTTCAGAGGACTGTGTCACCAAAGGCAGTATAATCCCTGGAAGCAGGTAAAACAGTGTAATACTTGGCTAAGGTATGAATGGAAGGCCAAATTGCTGTACTACAAATTCCTGTTATAGGAACATCCTTCAGCAGAGTACAGATGTGGACTGAGCTCCAGTGGAACATGCTGTCACTCTATGAAGGAACTAGCTGCATCCTAGCAGATTCTTAGCAGGTTAAGATGCAACCCAAAACCCACTTTGACAGTCGGAGTGGAAACAGGTTGACCCTTCATCCCCTCTGCAAATGATATACATAGCTTAGGATGATCTTAATCCTGTCAAGGTAGAAGGCGAGGGTCCTTCTGACATTTAGTCTACGTTAGCTGGTCTGTTCCTCTGGAGGTATGAGGTTTTTGGGTAGAACACAGGCAGGTGTATCTCTTGCTTAATGTGGTATTCCGAAGAGACCTTCAGGAGGAAGCGAGGAGGGGGATGTAGTGTTACCTTATCTTTATAAAAGGTGGTAAATAGTGGGTCAGCCATAAGAGCACTGAGCTCTCCCATTCACTGCCTGAAGTGATGGCTATGAGGAATGAAGTCTTGGAGATATGGAGAGGGAACAGGCCACCATTGGTTCAAAATGGAGGTTTCCTCAGTGCACTGAGAACCAATCTGAAGTCCTACTGGGGAGCTGGGTTCCGTAGGGGGGAAACAAATTGCATATGCCCTTGAGGGATCTAGCCGTAGTAGGGTGGGCAAAGACTGAGAAGCCTTCAACAGATGAGTGGATGGCTGTTACAGCAGCCAAATGTACCTCAATTAAGCTCAATGATAGACTGTGCATCTTTAAATCCAACAGGTAGTCCAGGATTTTGGAAAGCAGAACCTCTGAGGCTCGGGAAGAACCAAGGGGAACACCAGAAGTGTAAGCATTTCCACTTCTGAAAAAGTTTTGAGAGTACTAGATTTCCTGCTTGATAGGAGAACTGACTGGATCTCATCTGAACAGGTTAGCTCCAAGCTCAAGAACCATCCAGGAACCATGCTCTCGGGTTCAAGGAGGAGGGGTTGGGATGGATCAGGGTCCCTGAGTTCTGCGTCAGGAGATCCTTCTTGATTGGAAGACAGAGAGGTGTTGTCACAGAGATGAAGGAGGTTCGAGTACCACACTTGTCTTGGTGCTGTGCTGAGGAGAACCTTACTCTTTCCTGACATGGTTTGAGTAAGGGCTTGAAGATTAGAGGTAGAGGCAGGTAAGCATACACCAGGGGATGGGGCCACAGCGTTATGAGGGCATCTCCCAATGAGTCGCAGCTGTATTCTCCCTTGGAGCAGAAAAGGTGGCTTTTTGTGTTGTTTGGGGCGGCAAAGAAGTCTGCTTCTGGGAAGCCCTGAATCTGTCACATGCTGTGGAAGACGGAATCGTTGAACTCCCATTTGTGGTCCTGAAGGAAATGTCTGCTCAGGGAGTCTGCAACTGTATTCTGGAGGTCTAGAAGATAGACAGCAGAGATCTCTATCTGATGGGAAATGTACTGGTTCTACAGCCTTAATGAATCTAAGCAAAAGGACTAGGATCTTGCTCTGCCCCATCAGTTGATAATATAGTGCTGCTCTTTTGTCCAGCATTACACTGATGGAATGACCCTATATGGGGTGAAAGAAGTATTGGCGAGTGTAACTAACTGCTGTCAGCTCCAGAATGTTAATGTGGAGCATAACCTCTTATGCAGACCACTTGCCCTGGACTGTGGCCCCTTGGAAGTGAGCTTCCCATCTCAGAAGTATCTGTTGTGAGGATCTTTGAGAGTGAGGGATGTGAGAATAGGGTTCCCATGCAGACCTTCAGTGGGTCCTTCCACCACTTGAGTCCAGAACTGTGATGCGCTTGGAAAGACTGTCTGTGTGGGGTGTACCCTGACCTTAACCATGTCTGAAGGCACCTGAGGTGCAGTCTCGCATGAGGCACGATGGACATAGAGGCTGACATGTGGCCAATGAGTTATAGCAAGTTCTTGCAGTTGTTTGTGAGTTGTGTTGTATTATTGAGATTAGAATGGACAAAGGGGAGAATCTCTCTTTGAGAAGATAGGCTGTGACGGTTAGGGAGTCTAGTGGTTCAAATCAAGTCAATTCTTTAAATTGGGGTCAGTGTGGACTTCTATTGATGTGAAGGTCCAGAGAGTGAAACAGGGCTAGAGCCCTGGAGATTGCAAACTGGATCTCTAGAAATGATCAACCCCTGAGGAGCCAAACATCCAAGTAAGGGAATACTGCTATGCTCCACTGATGCAGATGGGCTTCCACTGCTGAGAGAAACTGTGTAAAGACCCTTGGGGCTGTGGACAGCTGAAGGGAATGACCATATTGGTAGTGTTCTGAGCCTAATTTGAAGCGTAGGAAATGTTTTTGGGATAGGTGGGTAACTACATGAAAGTAGGCTTCCTGGAGGTCAAGGACAACAAACCAGTCTTCTGGATATAGGGATAGGATTACAGTGGCTAGCATCACAATCCTGAAGTGTTGGGAAAGGATACAGGTGTTCAGGTTTCTTAAGTCAAGGATTCTGCCCCTTTTGGGAACTAAGAAATAGTTGGAATAGAGCATCTTCTGATGAACTCTGGGGGAACTGACTCAATTACCTGCAGGAGTAAGGAAGACTGGATGTCTTGTTTCAAGAGATCTTTCTAAGAGGGGTCCCTGAAGAGGGATGGGGAAGACAGGTGGCGGGGGATAGCGTGGAAATGCATGGAGTATCTGTGATACTGGTAAACCAGGTGCCAGCACTTGCCAAGTCTGTAGACTTCAGCTGAACACTGACAATTTCATAGCTGGAAACTAGACCAGCTCAAGTATATTTTAATATTGTTCAAGATGTTAAGATTTGTAACAATGTGTTTAGACTCTATAAAATGCTTGTTAGTTGCTGCATGCATTAATCTTACTTGTAATGTCTGTATTCCATGCTACAAGGTAAAATATATAAATTTGTTTTATAATTGTAAAAATGCCTGCTCTGAACTTGTGAACTCAGATGGGAAGAGTGGCTCTCCCCACTCATCCAGGAGGGCTATCAAAATTAAGTGGGCCATTATAGGACAAAAGCTTTATTGGTTGCCCCATCCATCCATGGAGAAGTATGTGCAAAAGGCTTTGTCCTATCAGTTAGCATGCAGGTAAAGGGAAATAAAGATAGCTGATGAAGATTTCTCATCTCTTTGCTGTTTGGACTCTTACAAGGGCTGAAGCTAAGAAACAAAAAGCATAAATCGTCAGGATCAACCTGGGTTAGCCCTGAAAAGACATTCAGTGCCGACAGATTACTACATCTGTCACCTTTTGAGTCACAGACAAACTCATCTGTGCATATATGTTGCCTGTTTGAACCTGTAAATAACTCATTTCTTTTTCCTAGTTAACAAACCCTTAATTAGTTTACCATAGGATTGGCTACCAGTGTTGTCAAAAAAAAGAACTAGATAAATTCATGGAGGATAGGTCCATCAATGTCTATTAGCTAGGATGGACTGGGATGGTGTCCCTAGTGTCTGTTTGCCAGAAGCTGGAAATGGGCAACAGGATGGATCACTTGATGATTACCTGTTCTGTTCATTCCCTCTGGGGCACCTGGCATTGGCCGCTGTCGGAAGACAGGATACTGGGCTAAATGGACCTTTGGTCTGACCCAGTATGGCCATTTTTATGCTCTTATGTCTTTGGGGTGAGATCTAAGGTACAAATTGATCTGGGGTCTTGGGACTGGGAGTAATACCAAAAATCACAAAATATTCAGGTAAGTGACCATTTATCATTAAGTCCAGCTTTCCTGGGTGGCAAGATTAGGGTGACCAGATGTCCCGATTTTATGGTCTTTTTCTTATATGGTCTCCTATTACCCCCCACCCACTGTCCTGATTTTTCACACTTGCTGTCTGGTCACCCTAGGTAAGATAGTCCCCTTCGGCTCTCCAGTCTACCTGTGCCTCTATGGTAAAACTGTGATCCAGGAGTTCACATTTGTTACTGGCTTGCTGAAATCTAATTATAGAACATATCCCCCAGTTTGGGGTGTCTGTTCTGCTTTTGACAATCTGCCCTGAGACAGAAATTCATGGTCATAAATCATTCCAGACAGTGTGACACTATTCCATGTTGATCACCTCCAAAATCCATCTGTCTAAGATAATTTGTGCCCAGGCCAGGAGGAAGTGGAAGGTAGATTGGTTGAGGCCTTTGACCGAGATGTCAAAACTGTTTCTTAAAAGGGAGGTGCAGATGATATTGCTGTAGAAGGGGATAGGGTCCTCTGTTCTGAGGTCTAGATCTCCTCCTCTGAAAGCCTGGGAAAAACCTGTTGCAGGTGTACTGGAATGGCCTATATTGCTATGACAATTGAGATCTACTAAACCATCTTTTTGTTGCATGAACATAAATTCCCAGTGACCACAAAGTAGTTGTTGAGTCCCTCAGTGTAGAGGGAAGAGTCCATGTCAGCTGAAGAGCTTGTCCTTTCAAAGGGAAGGTCTTCAACTGTATTCTGTACCTCTCTTGGGAGACTGGAAGGCTGGAACCAAGATGCTTTCTGTGTAACCACAATCACAGTGAGGGATCTAGAAGCCATGTCCGTGGCATCTAGGGCAGCTTGGAGGAAGGTTTTGGCTATCAACTGACCCTCTGAAATGAGGGCCTGAATTTTTTCTCTCTGGTCCTGTGGCAGATGTTCAATAAAATGAGTGAACTTGGAATTTGTGTTGAAGTTGTATTTCTCCAACAGGGTTTGGTAGTTTGCTTTGCAAAACTGAAGAGCTGCCAAGGAGTAGCTTTTCCTACCCAGGAGGTCTAAAAGTTTGGACTCCTTATCATAAGGAGAAAATCTCTCTATTCCTTGTGTTAATTGTGTCCTCCACCAGAGAACTGGGAATATGGTGGGAAAAGAAATGCTCCATCTCCTTGACTGGAATATAATACTTTTTATTTGCCCATTTAAAGGTGGACTGGATAGTGATAGGGTGTTGGCCAGACTGCATGAGCAGGCAATAACAGCCTCATTTTTTGATGATTTTTTTTGTGGGGTAATATTTGACATGTACACCAAGGAGAGCTGAGACTCTTGGATCTCTTCTTATGGGATCTGGAGAGTTTCCACCAGGTGTTTCATATGAGGTCTTCAAAGGCCCGAAAATCATCGGCATAAGGTGGTGGTGGTGGCGGCATTTCCACTTCATCTGGGGATGAATAGGACTTAGCTGATGGGGGTGAGTTTCCCTCCATATGGAAGTCCTACAGTTCCTGGGTATCTCCTGTTGCCAAGGGGGCATAAAGTACCAGAGGATGACCATGCAGTACTGAAGGTTGGTCAGTCAGTGCCTGTGAATGATGCGGTACTGCGGTCTCTTTCTGGTTGGAACCCTATAAAATTGTTCACAGAGATAACCCAATGGATTCCAGTAAGCCCACTGAGAGGGGGGGGGACAGGAGAAGAGTCCCCACAGATACTCATAATTCCTGACTCTTGGACATATGGTGGGGTCTCCAGAATACTGGCTCAGTGGCCTGTAGTGTTAAGTTACCAAAAAAGAGCCCTGTACCGAGACCTCAGAGTCTGAAGAATCATCCCCAAGGTTGAAGGGAGGAGTCTCAATCATTGGTGGTGTACTGAAAGCTGGAGGTCCAACTAGGGTTCAAGCCACCTGAGCAGTACTGGGGATGGAGCCCTGATAGAGGATCACAGTAGGGAAGACTCCAATACCTCTGGAATAAACAGGTCCTCCAGGGAAAGAAATCTGCAGGGCTATTGTATCCAGAAAACAGTGTCCAGTGCAGGGGCCTGGCGTTGCTGAGATGTTGAGCACAGCACTGATGAGGCTTGTAGAGGAGCTTCTCCAACCTCAGAGCCCTGCTGTAAGGGAGGTGATGGTATCAGAGTATGCGTAGCCCTGTGCATATCTCAGTGCCTGGAAGGATCAGTCGGTACTGAGGTAGACTGCTACCTGTGCTGTCTGTTAGAAGCCCCATCCACATGCTGCTTCTTGTGGGGTACTGGTGGCTTGGTACCAGGTTCTGATAGAACCTCAGAGAGGGATTTATGGGGTGACCTACCCCTCGTTAGTCTCTCTGGAAAGAGAAAGAGGCTTCTTAGAAATCCTAAACTCTGAAGGTGATGCCGCCACTGAGGCAGCCTGGGATGTTAAGACCGACGTATGGGGGTGGAGAGAGCGGACACCACTGAGTTAGTGAACACTCCATTAGCAGGAGCTTCAGTCTAGACACCCATCTTTCCAAGACCTGCCTTTAAATCCTGTACAAACCTTACACTTAAATGGGACGTGGACGTCTCCAAGGCAGTCGACACAGCTCAAATGTTCATCACTACTGGGAAAAGACCTGTGGCAGGTATGGCAGGGCTTAAACCTCACAGTATAACACAGTGGGGTGTTGGGGAGATAAGCCCCCTTCTAAACAACTGTATAAAACTAAAGAAATAAAATAATTAAGAAAACAAAGGAAAAAAATTAAGAATAAAAATAGCATACAAAAAAGGCAGGAAGCTGAGAATCAATGGACACTCATCGCTCTGTCTCAAGCCGCAGGCAGTTGAAAGGAACCGAGTGACAGCAGGTCCATGCCTCCTTATATGCTCTTGTTTGAAGGCACAAGATTCTGCTCTGTGCAGGCAAGTGCCTGCGGATACTGTTTTGCATTCTCTGGTTTAAAGTGCGTGGGCGCATGCGCATCCTACGGTGGAGCACTCCCTAGAGACATATACTCCAAGACTTGTAATAAAGAAGAAATGTAGGAGGTGTACAAGCATTGTTATTTAAGTTAAACTACTCTGTCGTTGTAAGTAAAGCCTCACCTTCAGAGTAGGAGAGGACCCAACGTACACTGGGGGTGGATTTCCTTGCCAACCCTGGAGACGGTAGATGTGTCCAACACGAGAACATGGAACAAACAAGAGCTTCCCTCCACATTGCCAGATCTAGAAGTTCAAGAAAAGAGTGGTGGAAAAGTTGATAATACACATGTAAACTAAACTTTTAAAAAAACAAAACAAACAAACAATTACGAACTAATTTACAATAGATTAAAAAAATTAATTACATTAATTGGATAACATGCTGAGCTCATAAAATAAATTTATGCTTAAGCCTGAAGTAAAATTAACAATGAGAGCTTGAAATAAAAGTCCTGGGCTGTATCCAATACATTCTTCAATTCTACAATGGACATGTTTACAAACAGCATTCTATAAATCATGTTTTTGGGATCCTATTCCATGACTATTTGCAAAGACAGGAATAAATGGGTATACAGAAGCTGGAGCTGGGCAGGATTTATTTTATTAAACATCAGCTCATATTTCATCATCATAGGCAGTGTTCTTGCATTTATACTCACCCCACATATTTTTCCTAATGAAAGTTATGGGGACACAGAACCCTTGGGTAACTCACTAGACTACTCTGTTCTGGATAGATCTGTTCATCCCAAAGTACAGTAGCAGTCACTGAGGGACAAACTTAAGACAATTGGACCCAAACTAGGAGATAATCCTAATCACATATTCATAGACTCATAGGACTGGAAGGGACTTCAAGAGGTCATCTAGTCCAGTCCTCTGCACTCATTATCTAGACCAGGGGGTGGGCAACATTTTTGGCCTGAGGGCCGCATCTGGGTATGGAAATTGTATGGCAGGCATGAATGCCTGGTGGGGGAGGGAGACTCTATGGGGTGTAGCATGGGGGGGGCTCTATAAGAGATGGTAGCGAGATGGGGGGTGTGGCGCGAGGGTGCGGGGGGAATCTACAGGGGCAGTACCGGGGACTCCTAGGGGCCCTGCCAGCAGTGACTCCAAGAGGGCCGTAACTGGCACCGTCATGGGCGGAGGCACCCTAGCTGGGACGGGTGCGGCCCCTGGGTGGTTTCAAGGCTCTCGAGTGTAGGGCCGTAGGAGACTGGAAGGAGATTGGGCGCGCTGCCGCATGGGGCGGGGGGGGAGGGAGGGGGGAGAAAGATGGTGCTCATCAAGGGAATTGTGAGTCGGGGGCTGGGGAGCCCCCGACCCCCCTCCCCGGCTGGAGTGGCAGAGTGGGCCAAGCCCCGAACCCCACTCCCTGGCTGGAGTGGCGGAGCAGGGCAAGCCCCCGACCCCACACTCCGGCAGGAGCTTGAAGGCCGGATAAAAACATCTGATGGTCCAGAAGCGGCCCGCGGACCATAGTTTGCCCACCCCTGATCTAGACCATTCCTGACAGTGTCTTTTAATGGGGTTTGTTGACATCCTGAAGAGATCAAGCCTCCAGTTAACGGAAATCCATTTACCCATCAACATTACTGTTGTAACACTAAAACCAAAAAAGAGGTGAAGAACACCAAAATGAAAAAGTAACACTGAAACAATAACACACACCACTTTAGGGTCATCCATTAAATTTAAGAAAAAAGAAAGACAGTTTAAATGTAGTCTAAATAATGCTGCTTTTAAATGTTTATAATTAAAGATGGGCCTGAACTATCACACATGATCTGAACCCATTAAAACACTGGGGATGTTCCAAATCACATCTAATTCCAGATTAGGACTGCATGACTTGAGACCATCTATTCATAACAGATAGTATTATTCATAATATTTTACTTTCTTCACTATGTGGATCTTATTATCCTATTGGTTTTCTTTCCGCAATTTTGTTTAAATGTTTACTAAAGGAGTTTTCTTCACAAATTTTGATATTACATAATACTTTTATATTTGTAAGCTCGAACACAACATCAGTTAAAGTGGCTTTCAGTTCTTCTGAAGAGTTGTGTTCCAGTTTTGTTTTTGTCCAGAAGTTAAACTAGTTTAAATGTTCATTACAGGACTATGTAATAACCTCCATCATCATTTCAAAAATCACTACACAGACCATTGGTCACTTTCTAGACCCAAACTAGTCCTTGCTCAAGCAAGACCCAGGACTGGAAAAAGAAAGGTGTTGCAAATGAGGACTGAGGCTCATTAGGAGAGATCCGATCGCAACATCAATCTGATTACAAATGTGCTCAGTTACTTTAATAAAATTCAGCCCAAAATTTAAGGGTCATTGTCAAGGATGTCTGATCAGAAATTCTGTCTAAAACATTTGTTCCTGTTTTTGGGGACACAGCTCTCTGTTCTGCTTGTATCTGTGTTCTTTAGAGTCTAAAGGGGCATAAGAAACTAATTCTTATGATCTTAAATGTCTTGCTGGATGGAAGAGCATGCATGTGTCTAGCAATCAAAACAAAATTCTGTGCCCTGTTGGTGATGAGTCACCTCACTGGGATTTTTCCATTTTTATAGTCCTTGTTTTGGGAAGCCTATTTTATTTTATTTTTTTAAAAGAATTGTCCATAATTCGGAAGAACCATAGGGTCATTTTTCACCCAGAAGGGTGATGGGGAAGGGGGGAAAATATCGGCAGGTTAGTTTTCTTGACAGCATTCTTTAAAGTCATGTCCATCTATGTTAGTATATCTAGAACTAAGTTCATTTTTCATTTTAAAAAGGCAGATCAATTTTGCTGTTACCTTGTAAGAAATTTCAAAGTTTTCACCACCCCAGATTTGAAGACCTGGGTCATAGAGACCCAGTTCAAAGAAGAAATCACGTTCAATGGCAAATAATCCACCGGCCATTGCAGGGGACCTAAGAGAAAGAACAAACAAAGTAATTCCTTTCACCAACAGAACATGACAGTCCTCTGGAAAAAAAAAAGTTACTCTTAATATAAGAAGCAATTTCCTGTTAATGCATGTAAAAGATTAGACTGATGGCAATACATTTAGAAATTACTTGGCTTTATTACTGGTTCATTATAAGACTTCAATGATTCTCTGAATTTGATACTTGTGTTAGTTTTAAAGAAGTCACTTATTACAGTTCTGAATTACATAGAGCATTGGCCCACACATTTCAGCCAATCTGCATCTGAAGTTACATGCCACTTATTGCCATGACAAGAACCATTGTGGCAACAAACAGAAAAGGTCTATTCATTTCGTGATGCATATGAGAGCATGTAAAGTGGACTAGACTCTATAGTACACAAATTGTGTTCTGAGAAGCTGCCACCTTGAAATCTCATTGTGCAAGATTTTTGTTATACAGGTTTAATCCATACTTTAAAAAAAATTATTAATGTGAAACCAGTGGGAGGGCCAGGCATGGAGGATAAATAATTTAGAATTATTCTCAATGAAATTTTTAAGAGGGGCAGTGTACAGGCTTCAAATCTAGGTTTTGTTTAAGAAAAGAGTTTTGTAAAACCTTCTACATATGCCAAAATTTTGATAACATTAAAAACTATTAAATGAAAAGATGTTCTAGTTTTGATTTAAGCATTTTACTGCAATGGTTACAAACAAAATTCTTTAGCAATGTGCTAGGCACATGAAAGTGAAACTAGCTAGTCAATTTCATTGGACTTGTACTGTATCGTCCACCTCGGGATCAAAAAGCACTATAGAAAAATTAACGAATTAAGCCTCACCCAACCCCTGTGAGGTAGGCAATTATTAAAAACAAACAAACCCCAACCCCACCAGATCAGGAAACAGGGCTACAGAGTCTCCTGGTCACCAAGATGATTTGTGGCAGAGACAGGAATAGAACCAAAGTCTCCAGCCCATCCTTGCTGAGCTAAGTAAAATCCAAACAAGTAAACTAGTAACATAAAATGTGAATAGATTTTAAAAATCTGCTTTGTTTCATGGTGGTGGCATTAGTAACATTAAGGACTCCTTTAATATACTGAATTTTGAACTTGATGGTATCCCTTTTAAATATTAATGGCTATATATTCCTGTCCTGCACAGAAATGAATGGAAGGGAACCATTTAAACTAAGTTGTAGAGTTAGCACATATTCTCTGAGCAACCCAGAAGAATGGCAGGTGTGCAGAGAGGAAGGCCAACAAAAGCAACAAAGACTGTGGATCTATCACTGTGAAAATCTCTGATCAGATGTATGGTGGGCTCTTTCTGCATGTTCCCCTTGACTACGCTACTTACTGTAGTTGTTTTCGACATTCCCTTATTCCACATAGTTGTATCATATGGATCCTTTTCAGAGTCCAAAGAGCTGCATAATGCAGGGATGTGGAACATCATATGGAAAAAGGAAATATGCAGAAAGAACAAGCACCCCAAAACTAAAGGAGAGCACAAGCCTGAAATGTTGAATTTTGAATCTTGGCCTCTGACAAGAACACTGTAAAATCCACACAAGCTCAGCAGTTTATTTTACAAGGTCTGAGGTGGTGAGCACTAAGATTTCTGAGGATCTTTCCACATTACAGAATGTTTAAGAACCAGTTTATTCTGCCTAAACTACTATTTTCAGCAAAATGATTAGCTAAATTTTAATTGTTTTCATATTACTGCCGTAAAACGTGTGTATAGCTTGGGCATAATGGGATATGGTTCTTTTTCAGAAAGAGAGCTAAACGGTCAATAATTCAACTATTATAGCTGTCACCTAAACCATTTTTTTAAAATTCTGATTCTCAGAACCGTTCTGAAAACAGTTTATAAAGTTGTGGACAAAGAATGTGATAGCAACCTTTGAAACAGCTTAACACTAAGTAGTTTAGTGCTGATAAAGTTCCAATGTGGACAGCCTTCTTCTCTATGACAGGATATTGTCTATATTACATAAAGTACTGAATAGACCAAAGCTTCATAATTTCCTTGAACATGTTTTGCCATTTTTGCAAAGAAGAATCACAGGGTGAGGGCTGAGTGAAGCATAACATCAGTTCCTGCAATTTGTTTAAACCACAAATAAAAAGTGCTATGAAACACTATTTTCTAAATACGTGAAAGTGCTTTCAAATAAAAGTCATTGGTTACAAGATTACAGTAGTATAAGGGAAAATACAGAGCAGAACCACAGCCTCCCAAGTCTCAAAAAAAGTCCAGTAACACTAATGTTTAAGCAAAAATTTGCATGTATTTTTGATAGAAAAGAAAACGTTCCACGCACAAAGCAAAAGCAATAGGATGGAATACATGAAATTCATTAAAGCCCTCCCCCAAGACAGACTGGAATTCTTTTTAGTTAAGTACATTACAGAGAGCAAACTTAGAGCTAGTGGGTTATCTTCCTAAGATTTCAAAGTTCTGCACTTGTATTGGTCAGATGGGACCTTCCATAAAGCAAGTGGGAATGATCTGACACAAAAAAGAGGGCTATATTGCTCCGGATGCACTTGCATTGACCTATTAACAAGGAGTTGTACACATGCATCCATGAGAGAAAACAGCCTAAACATTTTATGTATTATGAATTTTTTTTGAACATTTGTAGCATGCTTATTATGGAACAAACAATTAAGTAAGCAATTTTTATTGTTCCCAAAACCATACCTGAAAAGAGCCCCCATTAAAAGTTCCATGAATTTTGCTTGGAAACCAAATGATAAGAACATCTGTTTTTCCAAATGAAAATTATTATTCTGAAATACATCCTATATTTTGCTTGAAGTGTTAAGTACATAACAACAGAAAAAGAGAGGCACAAGAAGTTAGTGAAGCTACATTAGCAGCGTTTGACCAAAATAATTAGTAATAGTAAGATACTTTCTTTTTGGACAAAGCATCTTCAGTTGTTAGAGTATTAAAAATATGTGCAAGTATTTAGTAGATCAGTATCTCCTTAAGAAGAGAAATGGGTAAGTGATTTAGTGATTACCGATACGGCTCAGTTTGTGTCTTTCTCATTTCCTTCTCTCGCTTGGTCAAAGGCACCCTCTTCCATAGCATACTCCAATCCCATGCTCCTCTAGCAAACCCATCTTCGTCACCACCCCCTTGGGGTATAATAGTGTAAGTGTTGCCATCTACGACATCTATGAGCGGCACAGTGCATGTGGTTCTGCAGGGTTGTGGATGGCGGCAGTGAGGATGAGGTTAGGTACAAGGACCCACATGTCACATTTACACGAATCGTAGTTCATGGGAAAAGAGGGGGAAAAATGAGATGATTTAGATATGCATTCAAAACAATTCACAGAATAAAAACAGCACTCTTTACCGATAAGGCTCAGTTTTATGCTTTCTTTTGGTCTTTTCCTTGTGGCTTAATGGAATTCGTTTCCACAGCAAACTCCAGTCCCAGGCCCCTCTGGCAAAACCATCTTCATCCCCACCTTGCTGCGGCTCAATGGAATAATCATTCCCATCTATGTAATCTATTAGAGGCACAGTACATGTAGTTCTGAAACATTTTGGAAGGGGAAGAAGAGAGTAAAATATAATTTAAGAAAGATATGCTGTCTAATCTAATACATCTACCATTAACTTTTATTTTTTATTGAAATGTAACTTAAATGAAAGGTCAAATGTAAATATGTATCATCTCAAAAATGTAAAACTCCATTCTAATGGAAGAAAAAAATAATATACTTTAACAGTCCACATGTCAATGCCAGAGCATCAAATTATACAATCCAATGGTCAGAAGTCAAAGCTAGCCAAATTCAGACAGGAAATAAGGCATTAATTACTCTCACGGTTAAAAATTTACCACAGGAACAATTTACCAAGGGTCATGGTGGATTCTCCATCGCTGGCGATTTTTAAATAAATTATTGTTTTTTCTAAAATGTATGGTCTAGGAATTATTTTGGGGGAGTTTTCTGGCCTGTGCTATACAGGAGGTCAGACTAGATGATCACAATGGTCTCTTCTGGGCTTGGAATCTATGAAATGCATACTGAAAGCAGACAAGTTATGGCAGAAATGTTGACATACCAATCCTAACATTGGCCTTCTGATAAAATATTGCCAGGGGCAATGAGGGAGGAAAAATGGGAGACCTGAGAGGGTTAAAGGAAAGGGGAAGTACAGATCTCACGATTTTATAATCTTTCCATAATTGCTGCTATTTATGTGGGATCTCAATGGTCAAAAAACAAAAAAGTTTTATCTCTTCCTGTTGCAAATGGAGCCTTTCACTATTCAAGTCTGTACAGTATACTGTTGTCCTATAAAGCCATTCTTTTGGGGAAAAACCAAACCAAACTTCGCTGCTTTAGGATCAGGCATTTCTCAGCAGTGGTTTTAAAAACAATGGCCAAACATTCCATCAGAAGATTCTACATTTGGTTTTTACAAATACACTGTTTGCTGTGATCAATCAGACACAATATGCAATTAAGATAAACATTCTCTTGTTTTTCTCCCAGTGTTTTCATAATAGGCTCTGCTGATGCATTGACTGAATTGAAAACTTAAGTTTTTCCTAAACACTTCCATCTTAGAGGCAAATGCTATATACAATGAGAAAAACAAACAAGGGGAAATGACAGCATAATGCGTTACCTCCAACCAGGAGACCAGAAAAGTAGCTCTTTCATCTAACTCTTTGAAAATTTCCATTTCAGGGCTTTGTACAATCGAGTAGCAGCTATCAGCACCCCTCAATACTGTGGCCTTCAGCACCAATCTCTCTCCCTAGGTTTTGTCTTTGAAATTGTTTCTTCAATGTTCTCCACAACCTGCCTCCCCCAGGTAAAGGGACATTAGACTGAACAGGAGCAAGAGAAGTGCCCCATCCCAACCAACTGAAGCACCTGGAGACCTGTCCTATCACCAGTGCAGTGGCCGTGCAGGACTTGTTTCCTGGCACTTTTTAAGCCTCTGACATACTTGTAATTAAGACTCTTGTGGTACAATAGGCTGAGGGATTCAACAGCTTTAAAATAAAGATATGCCACACTCCCATACCCCTCTTTCAACTACTGAATAAGCCAACTAAAGCTAAAACAACAGCACAGAGCAACTGCAGCAGCCAGGTGGTTCAAAGGATTGGAGGCAGGTGGGGTCCATGCCCTCTTTATAGGCTCAAATGAAGTTTTGTGCACATAGGGCTTGCGGTTCCAACATTAACTACTAGCACAGTGTCTGGGCATGCAGACAAGACACACACATCCCAAAGGCGAGGATTGTTTGAAACAATTCTCTAACTTTAGACTTAAGAGAAAAAAATATATTTTTGTAATAACTACCATAATTATTGCAACCTTAAGATCACAGGGGCTTTAGTAGTCTGAAAATTCCCACTAAATCAAAATTGAGCTCCTTCTCTCTCTCCAATTCCTACCTCCATTTTAAATATAATGTTTTTGATTAGCTTTAATAATAAATCTTGTTTAAGAGGGCTGCTCATTCATCTATAGTAAGACATTTCCACAACAGGGGGCCTGTAACATAAAGTCATTGCAACAGACTGGATTCTCCTTAAATGTAATCCACATTTGAGTACCTTCATTAAAATAAAGTAATTAGAGATTTATTTGCATGACTGTCACTTGTTACATGACCATATCTTCCACTCTGGGAGATGATGCAATAGTTGTAATGTGAACAACACACTGAATATGGTTTAAAACATGAAGATTATTACTGTGACTATTTTTCTTCTTAGGAGGCTTTCTGAGTTATAGAAAAACAGGATAGCGTTACCTGTCCTTAGATATAGGAGCTACAAGTGGTGCATACCAGTTAACTGCCACCTCACAATGGGCATCAAGGTAAATCAAAACCTTTAAAAACAAAACAAAAACAAAAAAAAAGGCAGGGAGATATATCATTTGAGATTTCTGTATACAAATCACACATTGATTGAATTATCATATATCTTAAATTTTGACACAAATTTATACAAGTTTTTTTATTACACTATGGTGTAAGGCCTCACTATAGTGAGGTTTTAAGAATTTAAACCATTCTTATTTCAACAATGTTCATAATAAAATAACCATTTTAAGATTTGTTAAAAATATCTATGTTAATGTAAAGAAAATACAAATGATTTTATTTATCAAACATTTTCTACCTGTCCAAGTTTAGCCTTCTGAGCTCCAATGCTTCTAGCTTGAATTAAACCTTCTCTCCTCTCATTTCGAAATACCTTTACAAGGCCATTCCACTGCTTAATGTACTCGTCTAGTCTTTCTTTTAAGTGCGCTATCAAATAATAATAAAAAAAGATTTTTTTCCATGTTATAACAATTAGCGTTACATTTTTAATGCAAACTAAATACAACTGACCAGATTTACTAAAGAAACCTAGATGTTCAGAACTAAAAAGGTCTCAAATACAACGCTGCCTGATCTATTATTGATAAAGTGCTCATAAGTGTGATGAAAGCTTGATTTAAAGTTCTCTGATTTCATAGCAGGAGTTCTAGCTTTAGTACAGAAAAAGTTAATAGCTGCACTATACTAAGGGATTGCAAAAGTAGATTCTGAACCACTTTTCAGCAAAGACCATAGTCAATGACTCTTCACTAACACTCCTCATGATTTTGACTTGATATCAAATTATTTTGGGCAATTTGCATGATGTCTTTGTTAAGTTATCTATTTTTGTCACCTAAAACTGCTGGGAACTTGAGGCAAAGTTCTGCCAGACCTGGATCCCTCTATCCCTTTCAACCCCTGCATCTCCGGGGTCAGCCAATGTTTCCCATCCATCTCCTCAATGAGTATGTCCTTGTAGTGGCAGCTGTATTCACTAGAAGGAGAGACAAGGTAGGTGAGGTAATTTCTTTTATTGGATCAACTACTATTGGTGGAAGGCACAAGCTCTTGAGCTCTTCTTCAGGTCTGGGGAAGAAAGCAGAGCTAAATACAAGTTGGGACAGATTGTTAAGTAGAAGGGGTAACATGTTGGAGGCACTCACTTGAAATGAAATGGTGTTAGATTGTTGTGCATAAAGGGTTTGAAATGGGCAATTAAGGGTAGCAGATAGTGTGTGTATTACAAATTGTTGTGATGAGCCATAAAACCAGCATCCCTGTAAAGTCCATGAATTCTGGTGACTAGCACAGTTATGAATTTAAGTTCTCTGGCTCGCCTTTTGAAGGTGTTGACAGGTTTCCCTTGAGGACAAGTACTGAAATATCAAAAATGGAATGATCACTTTGTGAAAAGTGTTCGTCCACGGGTGATATGGTAATTTTGTCTTTTATCATTTTTCTGTGAGTGTTTATTAGAGAGCATAGTGATTGTCTGATTTCACCCACATAGTTGTTATTGGGACATTTGGTGCACTGGATGAAGTACAGCACATGTTGTGATAAGCATGTATAGGACTCATGAAGTTTGAAAGATGTGTTGTGGGGCAAGGTATTATCATTGTAGCAGTGGAGATAGGGCTGGTCTGTGGGGAGCTTGCTTCTGATAATGAGCTTGGTGAGGTTGGGAGTTGTTTGAAGGCCAGAAGAAGAGGTTTGGGAAAGATTTCTTTCAGGATGTGGTTCCAATCAAATATGGGCTGTAATTGTTTGATGATACCCTGTATGGATGGCAGATGACAACTAGGAGAGTGCAATCAGTAGGGAGGCCACTCATCTGGTATTAAACCGGACAGTCCTCTTTTTGAGAGGTTTGTCCCCGATCTGGACCTGGGACAAAACCAGACATGTCTGGTTTGGTCCAATATCGGATGGGGGATACCACTCCACCCCTCCAGCACTTAAAAATAGCGTCCCCTATGCAGCGTGACCTCACATGCGCCATGCCGAGAGTGACAGGGCAGGGTGATTTTAAAAATGGCTCCCGCTGTGCAGGGTGACCTCACATGAACTGTGTGTATGAGGTCATGCCAGTGAGGGTGGACCCAGGCTGTTCCTGGAAGTACTGGAATTTACAGTATTCTGGGAACATGTGAGTAGCCACCTAAGTGGTCAGTGGGTTTCTTTTTCCAGTATTGAAGCAGGTTCTCCCAGGGCATTTGGATGGCTCTTTTCAAGAAGCGATTCCAGGGAAATCTGCACAACACTTTGAAAAAGCAAGCTTGGGAACTTAAATTCATAATTCTGCTAGACACAAAAAGCCATGGGATTACAGGGACATTGTTGTAATGAGCCATACAACCAATCTGCAATATACCACACTGCCTGCTATCCTTAATAGCCCACTTCAAATCCTCTATGCATAACAATGTAACCTCCAATTGCCCATTTCAAGTGACTGCCTCCAACATGTTACCTCTTTTACTCAACGATCTGTCCCAACAGCTCTGTGAAGCTCAAAAGATTGTACCTTCCACTGACGGAAGTTGATCCAATAAAAGAAATTACCTCATCTACATTGTCTCTCCCATATTCTGGGACCAACAGAGCTACAGCAACACCTCAATAAACAGAGCAGCTGAAGGACGAGGACTGAGGGGCGTGGACTGTGGACCATCATCTGATGATCATATCACAAAGCAATACACAAATTATAAAGATGGAGAATCACTGATATTAGGCAGAAAAACTCTGAGGCAGAGAGAAAGTTTCAGGGAGGATGGTAGGAGACAGGCTGGGCAGCAGGGACAGGAGGGGCCATACTTAAAGGGCTCGGTTACATATTTGGCAAAAATAAATAAATCAATAGATTCAGGTACAAATATATTCTGATGTGGAAATCACATCCCTACAACACAGTTCTGGAAAAAGTGTTTCATTCTTGCAGAACAACTTTGCACAAACGATTCAACTCAGAAAAGTCTGAACATGCACCAGAACAGGTATGTCTTGTCTCCATGAAGTTGCATTGATTTACATAAAGCTGTTAATTTAAGAAGATTTCCTTAAGCCAGTGCAAACCCTAGTGTGGACTCTTATTTTGATTTAAGACTGACATATTTCAATTTACCTTACGTCAATTAAGAACAAGTTTAACCTACACCAAAATAAACCACTCAAACCAAAATAAGGGTCCACACATTAGTTTTCACCAGTTTATTTAAACCAGTACAAGTTTATATATAGAAAAGACCTTAAATTTTAGTCTCATAAATTATTATATTTTACCTCACCTTTGACAAAACTACTAAGAAGATTCCAACTTCAAAATGTAAGTAATGAGGTTGTGTATTAATAATTGAAATAAAATGGATTTTTAAAAACCAAAAGATATCCAAATTTATTTCAGGAATCGTGCACAAAACCAGGAATTTTTGTTGAACCTGCTTTCTTCCAAAGCCACCTGAATACTATTTAACCCTCCATTAAAAAAACAAAACAAAACAAAAACTTTAAAAATATGATTGTCAAAATCAGTAGGGATAAAATCTGATCTACCCTCTTCTCCCTCCCTTTACATATGTTTGCAAACCTGCTGCAATTCTTTGAGGGTTACAAACATTTCAGTTATACCTAAAGACTAAGTTAGAAAAAGGACAATTATTTATATATAAACATATATGATGTATGTCTTATGCATTATACAGAGAATACATGATAGATGCAGGATAGACATTTTACAAAATGAATTTAGTGTGGATTCATAACTACAAGAAAGTTATGAAGTCATCCCACACAAATGTCAATAAAAGCTTTATACCACACCATTACTTATATGCCTCATACATTACAAGAAGACTTAGCTCTCTGTAAAACATTCCTGATTATTAAAAATTGAATATATTTCTAACACTTTCTGCCTACAAAAGGCAGGTGCTTTAGTTATTATAAATTCACCTATGCAGGACTCAGGCAGGAGTGGGCAAACTTTTTGGCCCAAGGGCCACATCTGGGTGGGGAAATTGCATGCAGGGCCATGAATGTAGGGCTGGGGCAGGGGGTTGGGGTGCGGGAGAGAGTGCGGGATGTGTGGAAGGGTGCGGTCTGCAGGAAGGGGCTCAGGGCAAGGGGTCGGGGCAAAGGAGGGGTGTGGGCTGGGGTGCGGCAGGGAGTTCGGGGCAGGGGTGCAGGAGGGGTGCGGAGTGCAGCAGGGGCTCAGGGCAGGGGGTTGGGGTGTAGGGTGCGGGAAGGGTTCGGGCTCCGGCCCGGCGCCGCTTACCTGGAGTGGCTCCAGGGTGGCAGCGACGCGCACCTGGGCCAGGGCAGGCTCCTTGCCTGCCTGCCTGCCCTGGCGCCGCTCCCGGAAGCGGCCGGCAACATGTCCCTGCGGCCCCTGAGGAACTGGGAACCGCGGCCAATGGGAGCTTTGGGGGAGGTACCCACAAGCGAGGGCAGCGTGCAGAGCCCCCTCCCCCCTCCTCCCACCCCCCAACGGGCTGGATCCGGCCCACGGGCTGTAGTTTGCCCACCCCTGGCTCAGAGGGAACTATAAAAATCTCTAAAACTGATTATGGAATGTTTTCCCATGGTAAGTATTTCAGAACTTTGAAGTCCATTATCTAAGGCCCTTCCAGGTCTAGGAAGTGAGTGCCTGTTCCCACTGGGAAGCTGTGGATTTCCTCCTTCCCAATATTATACAGTTCCAAGGTCTAGCCTTGCAGGGATGCAAGACAACAGAATATAAAGCCCTGATATTTTGCGTAGACTTTCGGTCCTTCATCAGTTAAGACTGAGCCGATCACAACACGTATTCCAATCTTCTCTCGCTCTGGCCATCCTTTGCCATGTTTGTCCATATCTCCTTGTTAAGAAATCATCCCACTTCTTTGGAGGCTGACAGCATGGCTGTTTCAGTTCTTGCAGATATCACTCAGATATAGCTGCAGTCCATCTGTTGTCACTGAGTCACCTGATATTTTATGTTTAGAAAATCTGCCACTGGCCTAGTGCTGAATTTTGTCCACCCAACTGATATATTTTGTTTCTTTAAAAAATATATATAAAGGTGGTTTGAAAGGAAAGATTTGTTTGTTTTTAAATTAAGGGTTTATTCCTGTTATTTTAAAAAACCCTTAGAAATATCAAGAATGGCTAGTCTGGTTTCTCCCGATTTTGCTGAAGAACCTCCTACATGTTTCTAAATAGTGATCGCTGTCAATTAATGTGATTAAATATTCCTGTGCCTCTCAACTGTTCAGATTTTATTTCTTTAGTTCCCAAGTTATCATAGGTCTTACCTACACCAGCCATTGTTGTGAACACTCTCATGGTGATGCTACCAGTGATGTAGGTCTACTGGGGCCATCAATAGGAGCACAAGCATAGACAAAGCATCAACATTAAGTGATGTTTGTACCACTGTTTCAACTATATATGCTCTGAGCAGG